CCGCCCCCCCCAAAACAACTGCTCCAGCAGTTCAAAGATCTACCACATTTGCTTCTACTTCGCAACATCTACAGCTTCCGCTCTTATCATCTGATCTTCCAGTCTACTATTACAAAAAGAAATAAAATTTTACATATAAAATTTATATTATTATATATGAAATTTATATTACTTATATGTGTAAAATTTAAAAAGCCATCTCTCCCCCTCTCCCTCCCCAGCAGGCTTAAGCCTCCCTGCCCTGCCTGCCACCCCTCCTGCACTCTCCAGCCAAGGCAGCGTTCCCAGGGGCTGCAGGGCAGTCATTTAGTTAAACCATTTAGTTTTCCATAAGGGATTAACACACACACAACCTCAAAGCAAGCGTATGCTGTGCCTGAACGTTTGCATACGTGAATACCCCCGACATTACGCAGACACCTACAATATACTACACAGCCTCAAAAAAATAATAAAAATACTATCTAGCCACCAGCGCCGCTTCCCCCCCACACACCATTTTGCACCGATCCCCTTTTATATAATATAAAATACCCACGTACAGGCACAAAGGCCATTATATAAACACACGATAAGAGTTGATCTTGCACCGCTGTGCCAGCGCCGATGGCGACTGAAGATGCACGGACCACCTCGGGGGGAGGGGGAGACAGGAGGGCCACCTTGGTCCCATCTGAGGGGGTCAGGAGTGAGAAGATGCCCTAGCTAGCAAAAGCCAGGCAAAAACCAAACCCACGGCTCCCTAATGGAGGCTGCCGAGCCCAGCACCGCTCTGGCTTTCGGTGGAAGTGTGGGGAGCCCATACACCATAAAGGCTTTACATGGCGCTTTTTTTTTTGTGTGTGTGGTGTGTGTGTGTGTGAAGGGAATAAAGGAAGAGGCTGGCAAAACAGTCATCTGAACTGGCTTAAAAATGGGAAGGAAAAAGAGAAAAAAAATACATTTTGATTGAAACGCAAAACATCAAACCCCTCCAGACCTTTTCACACTTACAAAAAGGAGAGCAGCAAATAAGATGGGTGGAAGAGAAGCCCCACGTACAGAGCATTTGGAGTACAATTGAGCAAGAAATAGCCACGACAGGAAAACAGGAGGGGGAACAAACAAAAAAATAATAAATATGGCCCTTACACCCCCCACC